TATATATATATATATATATATATACACACACAAGTTTTATTATTAATCTTGTTGGTTAGGTTTAGGTGTGTTGAACTAGCTCAGCAAGTTACACGTGAAAAGTGTATAAACATTTCCTGTTCGTTTTTCGTTGGTAACTAACGAATACTTAATTTATGAATTCACACCATTAAAAAATAATGCCACATTATTTACTGAATAAGTTACCTTTGGTTAAGATTCAATATAAACTTATGGTATCTAGGGTTAATTTGGTTATCGGTACTTTGCTGTTTCGATTCTTATACAACGTTATTTTTTTGTAGAAACCCGATGAGCGGTGGTATCTAATCTCATGGTAGTATAAACGTATAAACGTATAAACGTATAAACGTTTAAAGCCGTAATAATATTTCTCGTTAAAATTTCTAAAACAAAGATAAATAAAACTACAAATTTTTATTTATTAGTTACGAAAACCATTTTACATTTTTTTTAAAAGTTTACCACGTCTTGATCGGCTGTTCACTAATTCTCGAGTAGTTTTTATAAATACTCGAGATTAACGTCGAAGATGCTAGTTTAGCTTAGTCGGGCGTTGCTTAAAGACCGAACCATCCAAAGTAGCGTTATAGGAAAAATAAAAATTCAACTTATACTCACTAGGTGTGGATTCCAAGTTATTTAGTACCGAAGTAACTCGAGAATATCACTTTTTTTTATTAGGAAATAGAAGCACTGTTGCTGCAAAAAATCGTCGAATGTATAACGATCCGTGGTGAAATGGGAAAACTTCGCGAGCAGGCGCGCGCGTCGAAGAGAACCCAAGAAGCAACACGTGCTAAGTGTCAGCAGCTTCAGAAACAAGTAGAAGGATTCGAGATGGTTTTGAAGCGAATAACGTACGACAAAACCCTCAACCAAGACAAATACGTGCAGCCGATCAAAATCAATCGTTCCGTTGGTCTTCAGGTCAATTTCCAGTCTGTAAGTGTCATTTAGAAAGTTTTTGCTCTTACTTATTTGTTTGTACCAAGTTTATTTTTAATATTATTATTTCTATAAAGTATCGAGAGTAAACGGTACTATCATTAAAGCTCATTTTTTTAACGACAAGATAATCTTATGTATTCCTTGGTTTAAAAAAATAATTGCCTCGAGAGTAATAGAAATGATTCAACGGTGAAAAAAATCTAGGTAGAAAAAGCAATACATTGATAGAAACAAATCTTGACTCTTCCAATAGGATCATGGTATACAAAATCTGAAGCAAATTCAGGCATTCAGAGCTAACGCTTCGGCCACAAGAGCAGCAGCAGCGACAGCTTCGACATCCACGGTATCGTCCCCAGTGTACGACAACCACGTGTCGAGTCCCAAAAAGATAATAAAAATCCGCTCGCCCCGTAAACCAGAAATGTCCGTCGTATCTATGGTCAGTCAGACGTCCACCGGCAATTCTACGATTTGTTCGACGCCCATGACGACCATTACCGGCACCACAGCCCAAATCACGAGTAAGCTCCTCGAAGCGAGCAACAAACGGCCGATCACTCTGCAAAACGCTGGGAACATCATGCAGATTTTACAACCCAGTAGTCAGCAGCAACATCAACAAACTCTCATTGTTAACAGGACCATTCAGAAGCCAACACAAACGGTTTCGGCTAATAATGGCAACACGAACAATAGCAGTGTTACTACCAATAACAACTCCAATGACCTCATAGATTTGACTGACGAAGAAGACAAGAACAAATCCAAGTTTGCTGTTGGGCAAACTACTCGTCAAATTCGTAAGTTGATTATTTTTTTCGTTCTACGTTGTCATCGTGATACACTGAGTAGTTTCAAAAAATTTGTTTTTACCTCTAATGGATTCTTTTCTTTGTTATTCAGCTGCTCCATCTGTACAGCCCGTTAATAATACTGCAATCAGTAGGGTTCCTACAAGAGTATTCCAAGCTGTCACTACCAGTGGTGTTCCGCTCTCCAGTGCAACTAATCTTAGATTAGTTACTACTAATTCTCAATCGTCCCCTAATGCCATAGTAGTATGTATTAATTGTTATTAATTTGATTTTTTTTTAATTATTTAACTTACATGCTCTGTTTCGTTCTTTCAGAACAATTTGAATGGTCAAAAAGTGACTTATGGCACGGTAGTTATGAATGGGAATAAACAGTTGTTACTAACTAGTAATCAGATACGGCAAGTTTCAAGTGTACAAGGAAAAAATATTACCACTCTTTACAATAAACAAGGTGAATATTTAAACCAATCACGTAATTGACTATTTTTATTTCTGTATTTAACACATTGATTATTCCTTAGGACTGCCAACGCTAGCTAATGGACAAACGCTACGAGTCCTACAACCTACTACAACACTTCAGGCACAAGTATTACGTGTAAGTGCTTTGAATGTGCAAAGAAACTTTATTTCATGTATAATTATTTGCATCTGCTAATAAAACTATTAATTTTAATTGACAGCATCCAGCTTCCTTACCCGAGAACACAACACCAGTTGTATCGAATCCAAATTGGAAATTGCCGCCACCTGCTCCATCGTTAAAAATATCAAAAGTAGCTACTGGTGAGTTAAAAATTACTCATAAATGTCTTGTCTAATCTTCAAGTTAACAGTACGTTTGTTAATGCTTTTTTATAACTGCAGGAATCGTTTTATCGTGGAACATGAACTTGACGGATAAGTTTGCCAATATCGCTAGTTATCAATTGTTTGCGTATCAAGAGGTCGCGGGAACGGCCCCCAGTCCCAATATTTGGAAAAAAATTGGTGTAATGTTGACAATGATTATGTTGATAAAGGTAATAATAATATTGAAAATAATTGAACTAATAATATTAAAGACGATGATAATGCTGTGTATAGTGATAATGATAATGATAAAAATAATCATTATAAAAATGATTATAATGATATTTATGGTAATAATAATGATACTAATATTTATAGTAATAATAATGATAATGACAATGTTAGCGTAAATTATAGTGCATTCTATGCTTATTAGAATAATAATGATAATTTAAATGATAACAATTATGAAGATAATAATAATAATGATAATCATACCGGTGATATTATTATTGATAACGTTTTTGATAATGATAATAATTAAAATAACGATGATCATGATTATGATGATAATAATAATGATAATGATGATAATAAAGTTAACAAAAAAAGTGGCAATAATAGTAGAAATAATAAAGACTATGATGATATTGTTGATAAATAGATAAATATGCTTTTGTTGATGATGGTAATAATGATAACAATAATGTCAATGACAATAGAGTTAAAAAAAATTATCATTACGATATTAATAAAGATGATCATGATTAAAATACTGACAATTTGGTTGATAATAATAATGATAATTGCAATCATGATAATTGTGACAACGATAAAGATGATCATAATCAAGTCAATTATACTAGTAATGGGAATAAAAATATATATGTATATATAATAATTAGATATACATAATCACATACACACTTTTGTGCATACTTAATTTCTCCCTACTTTTTAAGGAGAAACGGTTTCTTTCTAAAAAAAATTAATGATGACGATAAAAATAATGATGATAAAAATAATGATAATGACAACGATAATATTAATATCGAAAAAACTTGTAATGACAATAATATGAAAATGATTAAAGTAACAATTTAAATTATTTGTTGATAGTGATGATAATAATGTTGTTTGAAATAATCCTTATACTGATTATAAAAATAATAATAACTTTAAAGATAATGATGATAATTATAATCACAATAATGACAATTATGATGATAAAAATAATGATAACGATAATGATGATGATGATAATGTTAATGATGATAATGAAGATAATACTGAATATGTTTATGATGGTGATAATAACGATAATGATAATTATAAAAATGATGATAATGCTAAATGATTGTAATACTTAATGATGATGATAGTAATACTAAAGATGATCATTTTGATAATGATCATGATGATTAGGATAATAATGTTGTTGATGATAACATTGATGATAATAAGGATAATAAAGAATATAATAGTAATGATAACAAGATAATGATGATGATCATAATAATGATAATAATTATGTCGATTATAAAATACATTACAACGATTATAATAATAAAGATTACGATAATAGTAACAATAATGACG